GGGCCTCTGTTATTTACTTCCAAAGGGCAAAATTTAACTAAAATAATTGTACAACTTGATTGGTATAATAATTGGTGAACTCAAACTATGCCAATACACATCAGATCTTTGCATTAAAGTAGCCCAAAACATTCAAGAAACATATAAACTAAGTAATAAGTGGGAATGAGGTGATTTTTCTCTCTGGTATTTGTTAACATGAATACTAAAAACAAGTTCTTTGTTTAATAATGTTTTCAAGGAACACTGAGCAACTATAGATGATGTACTCAAATGGAAAATTATTTAATATTTTGATTGCAGGAATGTTCTAGTTAAAAGACAAGCACTATGCAAAAGCATAAGCACAGTATTTATTAGTAGGACAGTAGTGTCACTTGGTTGGGACAAAAGTTTTATTAACAACACAGTACCCCGTACAACAAAATTGAAGTCCTACATGCTAGTACACTAGCTGTCCCACAAACTCTCAAACTGATAGGAAAATAATATTCTGTTATTAAAAAAGGACTATAAACGTTCCTTGATGAACAGTGAACCCTTAGGAAAAGAAAATAAGCATCAAAAAATAAAACAGCAAATTAAACTCTGTTTTGAAGCTTATTTACTGCTTACAAATAGCTACTGACACCAAGACACCAAGACTTAAGCAGCACACGCTATCTTGCAAAACTATGTGAAGAAGCCCCACATACTGTAACACACTACATCGTTAAAGTCATATCCTTTTCATTTAAGAATTATACATAGTAATGAACTTCAATTCAGCACCTATTCAGCCATACAGCATAGGCACAGCAATATCCTTACGTGATGTAACACACGACCTAAAATCACAGTGCCATAAACAACTTAGAAATAAAGAAAAGTTAGAAACATTGGCAAAGGGTAGATCTTGGGAGATAAATATTCCAGCTGTTCACTCAAGTGTCAGTAAGAATTACTGTCTTCCCGTGAACACTGTTAGGTTTGGCATCTCCAATTCTACGAAGACATTTTTCCACATTGGAATATTCATTCTCTAAGCCAATAATTACCATATCAAGGGGAAAAAATCCCAACAAACCAACCCCAAATCACAGAAATAAAGTCACTGGGTCTGGAATAAGCTTACCGAAGATTCAGAAAGGGAAGCGCATTTCACTATCAAAAAACTTCAAACTGGCTCCTAGGACAGAATCGCTCAAATGCAGAAAAAAAACACCATCAAGGAAGATTTGCATGGGACAGAAAGGTGACCAGCCACTTCCAGAGTCCTGAAGAAGTACACATGCTATAGGACAGCTAGGAGAACCAAACCTCCTTTCAGCTTAAAAGTCTTTCTGGGCAATTTCCACCATGTTGAACAGTAGATGGGAAATATTTATGTACTTATTTTTATATGTAAAAATGTGCGTGCAGGTACACAAACTACAAGTCTGAAATACAGACAGACCATCCCCTGGCTAAACCAAGAAGCATGGAAATACAGAGGAAAACAGTAGGATATGACAGTATTTTATTTTGAGATATACTTCCTATTCTTTGCCCCATGTGGCATCAATAATTCCATTTCACATCATTGCAAAAGCACAGTGTCATGACCCATGCCCAGTCCTTGGAACTCCAGCACTGTGTCTTTGCTTTGTATTACTACTCAGTCCTGATGCAAAAAAAAAAAACAAATAAGCATGAAGGAAAAAAAAGCATTTTGTTTTGTAGATAGAATCAATACCTCAAACTACTACACAAAAGCATAACCCTGAAGCAAGTGCCAGGTATGCAGAGAACCCACTTTTTATGTAATGTTCCGCTTCCTACTGTTGCTGTAATCTGAAAAAAATTCAAGTGATTAAATTTCCCATGAATTAATGATGATTTATTTCAGATGTGTTCTGACTCACTCACAGAGATGCCCTGACTAACATTTTGCCCAAGTTCAAATGGACATATGCTGAGCAGTTTGAGGATGTAATATAGCTGTTGAAATTTATCATATTTCTTTGTAAGTTTTAATTATTGAGAAACATTACATCATAGGATATAGTTTCTTCTTTCATTAGAAAAACTGATTTATAGTTAACTGATTTTGAAAGCAAAAATAATTTCACATGAAGCCTATAATAGTTAGCAGGTTAGATGCCCCATCTACCATTTCATTGTATGATAATTTAAATTACTTTAATAGGTACAATAGCCTTTTCTGAAATATTCTAATATTTAAAAAAAATAAAAGAAGAATCACCTCAGTGCTAGTATCAGAAAAAAATTTAGCAAGCTAGCAATTCTATGTTCTAGCCCTTTAATTCACTACCATAAAATGAACGGTGAAAATAAATTAAATAATTTTAGAAACACTAAGGAAAAAACCAAGTCGTATATTAGCTATAATTGAAATCAGCCAAAAATACCTTTATCTTATAATCAGCACAAATTCACTACTGAGCTGATTAAAAAAATATACAACAGACAAACCCTTGAAATATGAAGTCATTCTTTTTCCCCTTAAATTGTCAAAATTAGGGAAGAAGTTTAATTTAAAAGCTGAAAAGTTTTACATGTTTAAAGCATCTTTATCAAAAGGCATTCTCCTTTCCAGAGGAACAGGACACAACCACAACATTTTAATAACTTACAAAGTAGTAAGTCATTCAATAGAAATACATTGGAACCAACTTGAATTAAGAAATAGTACTTGGTTCGCTAAGATAAAAATCTGTCCACTGCAAGGCCTATAAAACAGAAATTCAGTAACTTACATCTCCTGTCATTGCTATTATGATCACTATTCAGTGAAAAAAAACTAAGGAGATCCAAATATGTAGAGAATGTCATACTCTGATTAACGAGGACAAAAACAGGAACAAGATTAAAGTTTAGAATCTGGATGAAGTGACACACAAGTCTGAGAAACTGATTTCATTTTGGCGACAAGCCTGGCAGTGGCTTAACATAAAAATTAAAATAACATAGGCAACATAATATTGCCCTTACATGTTCAGTCTTTAACGCACTTACCTATCACTACGACGTCCTTTCTCACAGAAAGAAATACAGAAAGAATACAGAAGGGTAAAGAGAAGTAACAGAACTCTTGCCATCACCTTGTAGATGCAAGATGCCTGCTGTGCATATACCACTAAACGACTACTGACTCAGGAAGGCATTAGGAACTTCACTATGAAAAGATGATAAAGCAGAACCTAGGAGACAACAAACAGGCATTGCCTTAGGTCTGAGAGAGACTGAGGGAAGACTGTTCTGAAGCAGGTATGGCATCAGACCTCAACAACTGGAAAGTGTCAAGAGTGGAACAAGCTGCATCTGCAAGGAAAACAGTGTGATTAACTCAAACATGTGACAGGATGTTATCTTTGATCCTTTCTGTAACAGTCTCTAAAAGACCCTATAGAAGAGTGCACTAGAAAACACTAAGTCCTTTCTGAAAATACAGATGAGTGACCAAAGAGATACAATGGGGGAAGGTAAAGGGAGGCAGCTGGGGAAGACAGAAAAACCCATTCTTTCTTCATTCACATGCGTTGCAACAGGTTGTTGGAACAGTGTTCATCCAACAAATAATTAATGACAGTTAATTTCCAAGATCATTATGTTCTATCAGCACCTAATAACATGGGCTATAATCAAGAATGGTGTTTGCTGTTGTTCCCAGTTGAGATAAAGTTCTATTTCATACATCTGCACACAGAAGCAAAGAAATTCTTCAGTAAGGCTAACTTAACAATTAGACTGATCCATCTTGCTGGAATTAAGTCTCTCAGTGATTTTAAGAACAGTTACACATACTCAAAACCACAAAAAAACTAAAAGAGGCAGCATGACAAGAAGAATAAGTTTTCTGCCCTATGACACACCATTTTATTCATCATACTTAACAAAGCTAAACCTGTACAAGTTTGTACATATTGCATTGAAAGAACTGTTCACTAGCTCAAAAAATGAACAAAATTTCAGAAACATAAAACTTAATGGTCCTTTTGCAATTTTTGTGCAGTCAGTATCAATATATCAGCTCAAAGCTTTTGAGAGATACAAAAAAACCCCTGAACAATGGCCAGAGACCACATTTGGGCCAAGACAAGTACCAGGCTGGTGTCCATAGTCATCTCAAATGCCAAATTCAAAGTCTGCTATATAGAAATGTGAAATTACAGCCATTAGTAAAGAATTAGATGTTTAAACAGAAAAGATAAATTGGATCAAAACTACATAAACATATATGTAGTTTATATACATATACAGATAAAGACATAAGTAAACATAAATGACTGTTTAATTCAAGATCACATTTTTACACAGGAGAAATATTACATTCTGATCTACCAGTATGGCTTTTTCCATGAGCAGGTGAGTGTTTTCAGATTTTAAACTGACTGTTAGTTGTCTAAGAACACTAGGAGTAATTAATTATGTTAGGAAGAATTAATATCAAGAAATGAAAGTGAAATTAGCGTGAAGCTCAGAACATAAGATAGACACCATTGTGATTTAGCTTTGGAAGACGTTTCATCTTTGATTTAATTATTTGTCATACTGTGGCAGCATATTTCACCTGTTAACTCTCATCTTAAAATACTGAAAGATAAGGTGTAACTTTTTTTTCTTTTAATTCAATAGACTGAAATGCACCTGAACAAAATAAAAAGTTCACAGGCTAAAGAAAACATTTAGTAGAACTCAGTTTTGACTTGCGGACATGCACAAAATTGAAAAAACCCCAAACAAATTGACCGTTATTGGCACTTATGCCAGCCAGCTATAAGGTGAAGTAATAAAAGACAGCTAATAAAAGTGATCTGCTCGCAATGAAACTGTACAAGCCATTAATTCATATTGAAACAGTAAGTCTGATTGTAGTTTTGAGCACAAAAACATAACGTAAAATTCTATTTTATTCAAATTTGAAAAACTATATTGATTTTAGCTAGTTTAAATACATTCATTCCCAGTTAAAGTTTTACAGTAACTGATGATTTTCAATCACACAGACAACCAAGTTATAAATCCCTGAAAAATGGATTTATTATAGGAATACTGATAAAACCTTAACAGCGATACAAATGATACATCACATAGTGTATTACACCTTAACAGTAAGCACTTGATCCCCTTGGATTGGTAGATGCATCACTCCTACTTTTCTAGTCTAATACCATCCTCTAGGACCAACTGGTTTAAATTGAATTCACAACTGTTTGCAGTTACCTAAAAATGATGACTTTTATCGCACTATAAAATATTCTCTTCTAACCAGTATTTCAAAACTTTTGGAAAGAGAACATCCCAGTGGGGACTAAACATGGTACACAAGGAGAGTAGTTCTAGTGAATTTGAGAAAGTCATTTCAGAATCCGTGTCCCTGAAGTGATTTAGTATACAGCAGTACTTCCCTTGACATCAGTTAATTGGTGCATGTTTATCTGTGCATCTTAGGACTTTACTGTACCAGTAGGCCTTGGGACTCTTGAAGTTAATCTCATTCTGGCACAAACTTTCTGTGGGGTAGGGCAATTTGCAAATGAAAGGCACTCTGTTATGAGTGAAATCAGAATTATCAGCAATGCAAATGGGCAACTTGTAACACACTGAAGAGAAATGCCACAGCATATGTGAGGTCGAAAATTAAATACTTCCTGTAAAATAAGTGGAAAAATATGTAAAACAGCTGTAGTGCATCTGTTTGCATGCACAGACACTAGCCATTGTACAAGCAGAGATCTTCCAAGCATCCCAACTGTTGTTTGTTTTTTCCCCGATGCTTTTTTCCCCTAGGGTGAAACCAAACTTCTAAGATTCAGCATGACTTGCAGGACAGCCCCTGGCCCACCACTGCACTGCTTCCTGCAGCCCACAGCAAGCAGATCTGGAAAGTAAGTTGCAAGTGTGGTCCTCAGTAGCAGAATAACAGCACAGGCACACACCACTACTTTGCACCCCTGCTTATCATTTCTCCTCACACCTTTTCTTTTTTTTCTGCTCTCCTTGTAAAAAAAAATAAAAAATAAATCTTGGGAATAAAGCTTTCCTTAAGGACAGGAAAACTCATGCTTGTTAGTCTGACTAAGGGATGTGCAAAACAGAAGTCATTTCCCTGAGGCAAAGATCTTCAAGTCATGCCTAGTTTACATTATTCTTATTTCAAGCTGTTGAAATATTTGGCACATTGAGGCCTTGATCACTGACTGAGTCTCATGGCATTATCACAGTCTATATTATATATTTATACAATAAAGTAGAAGTTACAAATGCTTCATTCACTCATTTTGGTTTTTCACATTTATTCATTAAAATCCCTTTCCTTCTCAAGGGTGGTGTTAGGCCTTCTGGGCAGGAAGGTAGAGTGACAAATTTCTACTGTATTTAAAGGTTGCAATGAATACTGAATGCCTAAAAGGGCAATTGCAGTAGTAACTGGACTGAAAATACAGAGTAACAGGGCGAAAATTAATAGCCTGTTACATACAGCCTGTTACATGGTCACAGGTAGGTGATTAAGTAGTCTCTTCTTGACTTACATTATAAAAAACATCCAGGGAGAGAAAAAAAGTCATGTTGTGAGTGCTTCCAGTCTAAAACACATAAGAAGCAAAGCTTGAAACCAAGTATTTCCAGTTTTCCCTTTTAAAATATAAATTGCACTTTTATACAAAGCAATCCGAAGTCTAAATAATAGTAAAGGTCTGAAGCTGCCTTACTGTACCAAAGAGTATCTGTGTTCACATCTGAAGTACAGGCAACTAGTTTTCAGCCATTCTGCACACAGAGCCATATGCTCTATATCTTTCTGCTTTAAAAGGGCCTGCCATTAAATGCCATGCCACTGGGTGGGGAATGAACAAAGAAATAAAAAACAATAATAGGAGTTTAAGGCCTTTATCTCCACAAGGAGCTGAAAACTGTGGCACAACCCATGACCAATACTTGATACAGAAAACAGCACACTCCCACCGAGGGCTTCATAAAATCAGTCATTCTTTCTAACATTTGCCACACAAGACAATCATACCATCAGCAAGCAACAGTGCCAATTAAGCATTTTTAAGGTCTTCAAAAATTCACTGAAAGGGCACTTCTGAGAAAGATAATCTTACAGATTTGGTTTCAAAAATAGACACCACACTCACATTCAAGGGACATTCTTCACTTTTAGGCCTTTGTCACAAATCTGAATCTTTATTGTTCTGAAATAAATGCTATAAACATAAGACTCAAAACAAGAACTCCAACTTTCAGTCTCAGAAGAGGTGTGGTTCAATGCCCATATCACATGTAACAAGAAAATTTCCTTAAAAAGGAAAAAAATTACTGTAAAGTCTTTCTTACGAACGAAAATGCAATCCTTTTTCTCATTACTTTGTGTACAGGCGGGCACCAAAAAAACTTTTGCATTTTCTTTTGAATTCTTGCTATGATGCTTGACGAACTTTTTGCCATTCAACAAATTCATCCAGAAGCACAGGCCCTGCAAATGGATGAAACTTGGAGTTATATTTGCCCATGTCTTTCAAATATCTTCTCTTAAAGTATGAAGGTTAAAACCACTGTTTTAGGAAACATTCACGTCAATCCTATGGCCAAATACTCACAGACTACTACAATCATTCCAACCCAAGGGTGGCAAAAAGCGCACAAAAAACGGTAGACAGAATTATGGAAAAAAATGTTCCTGATATCTGACAGGTGCATTGAACTGAACAGAAAGCATAAAAATAAGGTTATATTGTAAATGAGCACAACTAAATCTTTCTTCCTAGAGCTTTCAAAATTGTAAATAATTAGAACATGTACCAAAATGGGAGTAATGCAATCCAGTCATAGCATCACTGACTATCAGGTATGTTCAGTTCCAAGTACCAGCAGGTAGGCAACATAATCGTTAAGTTAGAGTTTATTATACATTAGTACAAAATGAGAGTTTGCTGTTTATAGTTGTGCTTTCAAGTCTATAGTTTCATGCAGCGAGCACCTTTACTAGATCCTCATTGAATACAAGCTGGCTCAAGTACACCATCATACCACTACAACTAATATCTGCAGTTTGAAGATGGATGGTTATCAAGACTGTTTTTCTATGCATTGCTGGAGAATAATTACTTTATACCTTACAGTATTGTTTCTGTTACAGAAATGTGTTTTATGGAGTTTTAAAATATTGCGCTAATAGTTGAATAAGCAAAACATTAAGAATACTTACATGCACCATCTTCATCATAGTTGCTAAGATCTGCATGGACAGTTCTGCTGAACTCTAGTACATTGTACCACTGATCCTTGTTCATAACTCTGTACTTCGATTGCTAGGGAAAATTATTTCAGAACATGAAAATGTCAAATGGCATTTGGTACTGTTGCATCTCATTTATCTCATTTTATCTTCAATCAGTTCCTAACAAACAATTTAATGGAGAACAATGGCTACTATTTACTTGGTTTTCCATTTTTAAAAATACTACACATGTACATAATTCTTAGTTATGAAACTACATAAAATGATTTCTTGAAAGATCAGATCAAAATTGAAATACTGTGGAATCAGGAAGTTACCACTCTAAGCTTCAAAAAATTCGTAAATTTTTGTCTGGCCCTGAAGTGGGACATATCTAACTAAGATCTATTTCCAGATGGAACTATTAAAAAAAAAAAAAAAATCTTCTTTTCTCCAGGGTACAATACATTATAATCATAAAGACATCTACTTTGCAACGCTGGTACTGATTTGAAGCCAGGGAATAGTCTCAAGCCTAGCATGTTTCACAACCTACACACATCCACATGACTCATTCACTTACAGCTAAACTGACCAAAATCTTCCAGAGACAGTCAAAGATCAAGGTATCTACATACTGTATCTGAACAAAGCAAACTTGAAATTCAGCACAGATGCAGCTGAAGAAACTAACGGAGACTATTTTAAATTTATCTTTACAGTATAATTAGGATGGAATTTTAGTTGCCTTTGATAAGAGAAAGGGGGTGGGGCACAGGGAAAAAGAAAAGAATCTGTGATGCATACAAGAACATTGTTTCATAAGCACATTGAGCAAGGGAAGGGGAGCAATATAGATGTATTCTTGAGTAAAACACAAACCCTGAAATCTTTTCACAGAACACTCCAACTACTATGCCATCATTCAGAAAGTCAAGGAAACTTGTACCTCCAGGTATTGATAAAATACTGAAAACAGTGGCCAAGTTCTTCCAAGCAGAAGAGCTAACATGGACTTCGCAGTATCAATATCAAGACTTCGCTGGTCTTTTTCCTAAGGTTGATTAAAGAAAGCACATAAAACAACTCAAGTACAAGCTTGCTGAATAAATAAAGTAAGACCTTTTCTAATTTTCCAGTAGTCTTACCCTTGCAAAATCAAAGGCATATCTGTAGATATTCTTAAAGGATGAAATGTCATTCAACTGTGACCGCAAGAAATCAAATTTACTCTGTAATTTTTCTGTGCAGTCACACCTAAAATAAAACAAAACACAAAACCCAAAAAATAACATTAGAAGTTCAAAACACAACATTTAGGCAATGAAAAAAAAAGGCCAGCAAACAAAAAATTAAAGTTACCGAAATGCAATTATCAGATATACAGGAGTAATGCTATAAAAGTGACTTAGAGAATACTGAACACACTTAACATTTGCAGCTGACTGAAATGATGAATTCTGGCTTCTGTAAGCAAGTTTTTATGTTTTAACTATATCAGCAACATAATGTCTGCTTTACTTCTCAAATAGTAGTCTTTTTATGCCATACTCTGCAATGTACACTCATACCCAGCAGTACCTGATCATTCATCACTATGAAAGTTTGGAGAAAAAGAGTATTCAGTGTGCATTAAGTGGTAAAATCTAGCTTTATGTCATATTTCTTTGGGAAAAACAAACCCTAAACATGTAGTTTTGAAGTGTGTGTTTACAAATGGCAGGAGTGAGCTGGCACTCTGCAAAACATAACAGCCCGCTCATATTTTATGACCAATAAATGCAAGCTCTGATAAACCTACCACCTGAATTAGTCAGTAGCTATTCAACTGAAAAATCAAGGTCTGTAGGAGAATTTCCAGGTCTGCTAGCTGACGGGATAATAGTTTGGTAAAAATAACCCTTTGGCAGAAAAGATCTCCATGTATTTTACTCAGCAAGGAACTTTGTTTTCAAATAGAAAATGGGTTAAATTTCCCACAATGGCAAAGGAGAGTGTAATTTACACTTGCTAATCCTGCAGGAAAGACTCACTCAAAAGAACAGTTGTTATATCACATTTTATTCCTATAAAATAGCTGCCATGATTAAAAAAAAAAAAAATCTACCTTGCCTTGTATCCTTTGACAGAAGCAATACTTTCAGAAATGCAGAGGTACATAAATACTTCCTTTGGTCATGTGTCCCCCTTTTGGCAGCCTGCCTCTCAGAGAATACATTTGCATCTCTAACAGCTCCACATGGACCTGTCATAGGCCCACAGCAAGGGCCCTTCTGGAATACCGAAGCAGGTTGCTGAGATGCTGTACTTTGCCCACAGCTAATACTTCCTGTTCCCGAAGTCTACCAGCCTGTGCATGCACAGCTGTCTGTCTGTCAGTCTGTCCCTCTCAGACTTCGACAAGAGAAATGTAGCAATTCCAACAGATACAGCCTTTTGTTATTTCTTGTCTCTAGCAGCATCCATCTAAAGCAGCACTGAGTCCTAGCCATGATCAGTGCTAAATAAATAAAACTATTAGCTAATTAGGCTACATATTCAGATGACAGAACTAATATATTCTGAAATAAGCCATACATGAAGTTGAAAAGAACTCTAGTTAAAAAGCTTTGGTAAATTTAATTAAAGATAAAATTACCTTTTTTTGTCTTCAGCAATCTAATTGGTCAAACCCTTAAACCCCTGTTTAACCCTTAAAACAGCAGTATGCTATGCTAGAAAGGAATCTCATCTTACATTCATATATCTTCTTTCTACGTTCAAACCTTCATACTTCCAGTAGAATGCCCTGTACATTTGAGGACAAATCTACCTATTTAACATCTACGTAAATGCTCATGTTGTTAGTGTACTAGTGACATATATAAGCTACTTAAGGTGGGTTTACGGCACATTTTGCTAAATATAGTTTACTGAGATTTACCATACCATGGGTAAATACAAATTTCGATATGTTTAAATTTCTTACAAAATTGTTAAAATTGTACAAATTATCACAAATTTAAGTGCAAAGTAAAATGCCAGTTATTGTCTACTGTATTATTGATTATGTGTATTTTAATGCAAAAGTGATTCTTTTGAAAAAGTTGATATGTGCAATTATTAAGCCTCAAGACTCCTGAGCTATTTATTATCATAATTTAAAACCAAACAGTCAAACAGACGCTGAGACAGGCACCACCAGCCTCTGGATCCCAATGCAGGGACACGTCTCTGTTAAAGTCATTCTGTACCTGGCCACAGACTTTCTTTCCGAAAGAAGGCAAAGCGTTGTCAAACTCCTCTTTTACAAAGATACAGGTGTTTGTGCAGCTGCACCATAAACAAGAAGACTGAGGTCACCCATACTTCGAATAATCTAACAATCAGAACAACCTTCTAATTAGCACAAATGAATTAACACTAAACTTCTGTAGAGACTAGAAAAACATGTGATTTCTCACTCTGCCTTAACTGAAAGATAGCACTAAATAATGCTACCTCAAGGTGAACAAAATTAGACGTTAGCTTACTACATTCTCATCACACCCCTATGGCACATTTATAACAAAACTTAAATTAGCATCACAAAGCAGATGTATTTTAATCTCTGTTGAGGTAAAGAGATCATTTGAGGCATAGCTAAAATGGACAGTGATGATTCAATAACTCCTACTCAGATATTGAAATGTTTTATATTTCATGGTTATTCATATAGGCTTGTCTTTCACTAAAAAGAAAAATCAGTAAGATGTATACAAAAGTTAAACCAAAAGCATTTAATGGTAGTATACATATTTCATCCTAAGGAGGTGTTTAAAGTAGCTGAAATATATTGCCCAGCAGAGGTACTTGTTTCTCTGTGCTGACTATGGAAAGAGTTTCAAGCACCCAGCTTGCACATATACATGTACATATATATGTATATGCACACACACACACATATATGATAAGGAGCAGAATTCACCCTACATACACAATATACTAGAAACTTCACAGCTTACTCAGGGAATAGTCTCAAGCCTAGCATGTTTAAGTCTCATAAGTCGCTTAAGTCTCATAAGCTGCTGTTTAGTGCTCAGTCCACTCTTAATTTTGACAGGGTCTATCTTGTCAATATATTTATTTTTCTTGCCTCTAAAGAACAAACTTCTCCAGTGTGTTACAAAACTACATACAAAAAGAATGTCACTTTAAGATTCAGGCACCCAAATGCTGCCATCTAAACTGTATATTAGATCTAGGTGTCTTAAGCTTTAGTGTTGTCATTCATAGAGGAATAGCCAAGCAGCCTGTTAGAGCAATTCAGGCAACCAGTAACTAGGTCTCTGGGCAAACTGAACACCTCCCTAGGCTTCATTACACTGACTAGATCTCCAAAGATTGCAGTAAGAGTTTAAGAAATCCAGCTCTTACATATATACCACACATTTAGGTGTCTTACTATGGAGCTGAATTCTACCCAACCCTATTCACGCAATTACCTTATGTGACACTTCACATATTTTGAAATAAGGACTCTGTAATATAACAGACTAGAATACACTCTGGGGTTTTAATGCATTTACATCTTATTTCTTCATGCAAAAAATTAAAAAAATGCTGTGCAAGAACATAGTAATACTTTATTGCTTGGAGTATAAAATCTTTCTTCAAAACTTCTGTCAAGCCTTTCCAGAGAAACTAGATTCCACCATTCAAGACAGAATCCCATAATGTGATCTTCCCAGCAAGAAAGAACAGCACAAGTCTACAGATTCTTATTTTCTTTTATCATGGTATAACCCTAGCTGGCAAGTAAGCACACACAGCCACTCGCTCACTCCCAGCCAAAACCAGCACCTCTTTTTAAGCCAATGCATCTTCAACTGCTTTATGTGTCACTGCTTCATCCAGCTGCTTAGCCTACAGCCTGCTTATTAGAGCACACCAGGGGAAGTAAAACATACAGGTTAACTGGTTTAGGCTTAGGTAAGTGCTCTGATCACAAGTCAGTTTATATAAAAATGTACAGCAGCACCATTTTTTCAGTCTTTCACATTTAGGCTACAGCATGACCAGCTCTGTTCTTAAAAGAACCAGAAGATTTCCAACCACAGAGGATTATTAGAAACAAAATCTATAACATTGGCTCTGAAAAGGTTCCTGATTTCATATGTCTTTGCGTTTGAACTCTATGAGACTGGTTAACTCTTGAAAGCTTCAATTTGGGCATAAAAATTAAGTGCTTCAGAGAAATGACCAATACCCACTCATCACATCTGAAAAACTATGCAATCATAATTTAATCTCTGTCATCCCAGATTTCAGGCAATTTACTCATACTCTTACTAAATTTCTGCTGATAGTCACAAAACAATCAAGGCACCTACCAGAAGCCTGATCCCAAATCAAATGAGAGCTAAGAGTCAGGTCAAAGTAATTTATCCTCTGGTTACTTGAAACTATGGAGTATCTGTCCAATACAATTTCCCAAACTAATTCACAACTGACAGGGCAACGGTCAAATCACCCTCTCTTTCCCACTGTGCTGTAGCTGCAATAGTAGTTCCCTGACATTTTTAATATTGAATGCAGTGTCATAATAAGCTGCTCTTAAAACACTTAGGTATCATAAGTAGTTCCATGAGGAACAAACAAGAAGTAACAACTGAACTAATCCTCACAAAAAGCTGATTAGTTTAACACGAGAAACAATCTCTTTAGGCAGAACATTAATTCAGCAAAAATTCTAGCTAACAATAGAGTAATAAGTTAATTTATAAATTGAAAAGGTGTTATTTAAACTAAGCATTAACCATGGCTTCTGACATGCATCTAATAAATAACACTAATAGCCAAACTATTATCAATGCTGTCCTCATCTACAAAGCTTAGAAATCAGTAAAATCTGTCCAGAATATCAGTGCTGAACTACACTTATGTGCATTTCCAAATCTACTTGTCACTAATTAGAATGATATTTTAACATATTTTTGTAAGAAAAATAAGCCACCAAAACCTGACTTATTAGGTTTAGACAATTACTTAATTATTTGAGTGAACTCATCAGATTCACTTTGTAGTTGTTGACCAGACCTAAAAGCAAGCATTTCTGTGTCTTATTGCCAATGTACAAGAAACTGAGAGCAAGAATAATTAAGCTACTGGTACAATCATAAAATTAGAACATTCTATTATATATGTAAAAACACTCTTACTGTAATGAGGTCATTCCTTTTAACCATTCTTCCTTGGTAAAAAATCCCATGCTTTCAGCCTCTAGTTTCCAGGCTAAAACTAACATAATAATCTAAGGAAAGCAAAAAAAAAAAGAAAGGGGGGGGGGCAGGGAGAAAAAGGAGTCAGTATGTAAGAAAAGGCCAATTTATTGATATTCAAGAATAAAACTCTTAAGCATTCAAACATTCTAGGAAGAGTTGCACATGCTTGCACTTTATATTTATTACTATTAAATAATTTGGCTACATGCAATTTTCCCTGTAATTTCAATTTCTGAAAATGAAATATTACTATAATAAAAAACCCCCAAAACCTCACGCAGCAAATATAATTGATGTATTCAGCTAAGATATCTTAGAACAGCTCCTAAAAGCAGGAAGATGAACTCTTCACTTACTGGAGTTAAGAGTTTTACACAGAACTTAATCTCACCCAATATCCTCTTTTAAAGTGCTATTAGCACTGTGCAAGAAACTTACATTTTCAGGCTCAACACCGATGTCTTCACAGAACTTTTCCATTCCTTCGGGACCCACAACTTCATCAGGACCTTCAAAGCCAAAACCACACCAGACTGAAATCTAAGTAACATTCACCGCTCACAAGGGTTATGCACAATAACTAGACTATACTGCACACAGGCAGTTTTTGGAACACTGAATTACACTATTAAGTAGCTTTCATGTTAGAGCTATTCTACCACTGCAGTGTGGAGATGTGTATGATATGTACACAATGTTTGTGTTGTGCAATGTCCCTATAAAAGCAGACAAGCCATTGTAGTTTTTCATGTGAGTTTTCAAAAGACTCCATTGACCTTCCTATTTATGTAGCTCAACTCCAATAACTGTGGCAGTCAATTATTTTTAAGACAACTTGGTTACCACTACTCTGTGCTGAAATTACTCTATGAATAATGTTCTTTGAAGAATTATTTTATGAACAACAAAAAATTTAATTCCATCTGAGCTACTGAGATACTATTACAGATATCACTCTTTCAATGGTGCTAACATTATGGGTTTGCACTAACATAGAAGAGGGTGAATCTGCAAATAATATAAGGTTATTTTTATGATGCTGAGAATATGAGGAAAGTGATAACAAATCAGAGAAATGCTAAGTGTGTTAGTCACATAGAAGGCAGAAAAAGGTTTACAGTTGCAATGAAATAACTTGATTCAAACCACAACAGTTAGTGTTATGCTGTCACTTCTCCATTTTAACACAAAAAAAGGCCTCCAAAATGCAGCAAAATAGTACATTTAAAGAGCGCATAGAGAGACACTATACAGCACTTTCTCTAAATCTCTCTCTGATTTCAGTTATTTCCACTAAGCCTGTTCCAAAAATGAGTCCTACTAGGCAGCCAAATATTATTAGAAGGCCTGTTGACACAGTATTTTGATGTGTCTTGGATCATTTTGTTAACATTGTTTTAACAAATATGAACCCATGTAAAAGGAAAAGGTTTTATCTTCCAAAATAACATGCCATTTGCCGATTTTTTGGCAAATTTTACTACTTATATGTAGACAGAGCCCTTGATGATACTTTTCTTCACTTCATCTGTATCTGCTGCGGTTAGTGTAAGCAGAATTCTTTGTAAGAGTTTGGATAAGGCACTTTGAATAACTACTTGCTGTGAGATAAGAACATCGTCAATAAAAAACATTAAGAATGGCTGCTTTTACAGGAAAGTAAAATGCACCTGACATTTAAGATCATGAAATTCTACCTCTTGAAAAATATTGCAAAGAACATTTTGCCTAGGTAAGCAAGGCAAAACAGTTACATAGAATGTGTTAAAAAGAAATACAAGTTTAAGTTATGAAGAGAAACACATACAAGGGTCCACTGGTAATGACAAGTATAAACTTGAATCAGTGTTTTTGGTCCAGAAATCATATGCATAACTCATTTTTTTTAATATATATATATATGTATATACACATGTGCATGTGTGTGTGCACATGTGTGTAGTTTTACCTTTCAATGAAAACATTTAATCTCCAATGTGGCATATTTTGATTACTGGTTAACTAAAGAAGCATAACCTCCCATACTCAATTCTTGACTCAACAAAGACAAAATTTCCAGACATTAAAAGTAAGAGCAACCACATTTATCAGAAGAAAATTAACTGAGAATTCTTGTTTTCCTCAGGAAAGACTTTTTACTCCACAAGTGCATGCCTCAAACTTAAATTAAAAAGCAGATTACTAGAAATAAGAGTGGTTCATTGCTGTGGAAAGACTGCAAGGAAAATATCAGTTCTGATAAATATAGTCAAACTAATTGCTGGCACATAAATCAGCAGCTTGTTTCATACTGAGAAGTGGCCATTAATGAGTTTTAATTATTAACCAGTTATGATGGACTTAAAGTAGTGACTAGACAAGAAATTAATAATAATTTACAAATCCTGATTTTGTAACCATATATTTGGTAAATAAATAGTAGTAATACTGTAATAAATTCTGCAAAATACATTGCATATTCACTGAAAGCAACTATTACCTGGATGGCAATTCTGAGTTATTTAAAAGAGGTTACTTCCAATACTTTTGGAATGAAACATTTGTTAATTAGAATATCAAAAATGCTAGGACAGATTCTCAAACAGGAAAAACAGTATAAGTATCTATTATTTTGTTTTATGAACTAGAAAACTAAGAGACTTAAATCATGAGCTACAGTACTAGCCTTGCAATATGATCATAAAAAAGATCCAGTTAGATAAATAAGCTTCTACCTAAACTCTCTCTCAATGTCCTGACTTTTACTTGACAATTTCAAAGGAAAGAAGCAGAATCACTCAGCATATCCTCATTCAACACTGTACTACCCAACATCAAGTATTTCATTTTAAAGCTATAAAGCATAGAGTAAAGTCAAGTAAGTGAAAAAGAACAAATACTGAGAAGGTACTAATAAAAGCTATACTAATTCAAGTGTATGTTACAAGGAAGCAAATATGGACATTTTTCTGTATATATCAGCACAAAAAAAGCAAACTGCAAATAGTATTTGATATATTGCTTTGCTTAAAACAAAACTTTATCATTTTTATTATGAATCCATTGCACATTACCTGCATATTCATAAAACCAAGCCAGGCACTTTTTGCTTGAAAAATGTTCCTCTCCACTTATTACTTTACCAGACGCTTGTGATCTGCAGTAGCATATAGAAACACAAGATGAACAGCATTATTTTAATGAGACATGGGAAAAAATGTAAAATTAAATTCCCAAATGTTTATTATTAATTCAAACTATTTAAATTGTTTCACGAAGTCAATATACATAAACAATGAAGCTGAATATGATAGAGGGCAACTGTCTGTCATCCTATTTTAAAACCTGGAACAGAAAACTACCTTGAAATACAACCACCTCATAACCCAATTTATTGCAACTATTACTTTTTCTGAAATGCAAGAGTACTGTTATCTTGTAGATATTAAACAAAAAACTCCACACACAGATGGCCAAAATATCACTCTTCAGTAATTTAAATGCCTTATTATCTGCTTATATTTATACATACAGGCATTTAAAGTTAGGTCTCTAAAAAGCAGCATGATCTTCAAGAGTGTTGAATACGCTCAAATCCCATCAAGGTCAATAGGAGCTGCAGAGTCTGACATATTTAAAAGTCAGCCTATTTATAGTGAGGCATTGAAATTTGGGATGAAAACTTGACTGATTTGTTTACACTAAATATGTAACTAAGTATCTGTAAATTCTATAGATGTCTGGTACCTATACCAGAACAGTAGCGTGCAATCTGTGTTAAGACTGAAGCCGCTCACCACACACAGCTTCCCTGCTACATTGCCTTCATTATGTAACACACAACCCAGTTTGCCCAAGAAGTGAATTTTCATAATTCATCATTCATTAAAAGATGCACAGAATAACTGATTTACTCCACTAAAAACACTGACCACACCAAAGCATCTTTAGTCAGTAAGGAATTTCCGCACCTTTCCAACACATGCTCTTACCAAACACTAGTTACAGACTTCTAGAACAAGCTCAGATTATTTCTAACGATGAGAGTTAATCGTATGAGAGGATTTAAAATTATGCAGCTCCCACATCGCAATTTTAAAATTAAGACATCAAGCAGTAAAATAACAGTTCAATTCTGAGAAGGGTGATCAACTTTAACTCCTTTAAACTGTATCGCTTTAAGCTTCACTGGAAAAGAAAGCAACATTCTCCAAGATGAAGCCTTCTATGCTGAAAGCTAGAATTAAAGGTGTCCTACAAACATCCCTCCAACTGCCATTGGGAACAAAAGTCACCAGAAAGAGACAGTCATACATATGCTATTGCTTATTGGCTTTATCCAGATTAACACAGATCTATTTGTAATCACTGCTTTTACTAAAGAATAAACCAATACATCGCTGTATAAGAATGTAATGCCAAAAATGCTTGTGTATCCAACATTTTGTGATAAGCTAGCATGAACTCTCATTTACATCATAGTTTTTGCCCAACAACTACTAGATTCCTGTAGAATTTTTTTTTTAAGGAGCTATCAAAAGGTTTTTTTCTTTTTAAGTAAAAGATATTAAGGTCATAAAATTTTGGTTAAAAGTGTTCAAGAAAGATGAACTGAAACTGAACACATACAGAGAAGACCTATGATAAGCAAGGAAACTGAAAGTTGGTATTACAAGCCAGAATAATTTAACTTGTTTTTAGCTTGTAGCTGAAAAAAACAAAGTATGAAAAAAACAGAAGCACTCCCTCCAAATGCACTCTGAGGCAGAATCATGAGGGAGGAGTGTTGCATAGAACAAAATGCTGGCACAACAGTTATTAACTGGCTATGAATAAACTGACTGAAACTAAAAGGTCACTAATGACCACAGAAAGCAAGTTCTGCAATAGTTATCCAAAATGAACAGTCACAACAAAATAAGAGCCTGGGTACTTCTAAGATCAAGCTCAGTCAACCTGTGAGAAAGGCCATACACCACAGTTTCTTGCAGTAGCCATTCCTGCAGCGTTGATTTCCTAAGTCCTTTTTATCCTTAGGGCTTCACGACGTTATTCCTAACTACTCGTTTACTGATACATTTAATAAGGTCTAACAGATGAAGCAGGCTAACAGTTACTTTAGAGAAGCCACATTGTAAAGCTCCTGCTACACCACACTAATGGCTCATCATTTTAACAGTATCTTTCGGCTATCATGGCATAAAGTAGACTTTTAAAAATAGTTAATAGACAGGATACTTCAGACTTCTGTATTTATTCCAGAAATTTTTCCTGCTCTTCGAGAGTGATGACCTCTCCTTCCAATTTACTGCAAAAAAAACCCACAAACAAAAAACAAACAAACAACCCCCCCAAAAACACACACACAAAAAAAAGAAAAAAAAGAAAAAAAGGACGATTTAACGCAGACACTCTGACCACTAGCAACCGTAAAACGAGTGGCGACCGTAAAGTGAGAAGAGCCGCCTACCTCAGGGAAATAGAATGGATATGGGGCTAAATGTCAGCACTAACCCTCCAGGTACAGCCAAAGGCAAAGCGAGCCGGGAACGGGGGCCGTTCCGGGTCGTGCACAGGCCGCACGCCGCGCCCCGCACCTGCAGGGCCCGCACCGGGACGTGCCCGGCGGCACGGCCCAGGCCCTGCGCGGGGCCCGCGGGCCGCACACGCCTTACCGCGCCCGCCGCCCCGGGAAACTCCGGCGGTGCCGCAGCCCGGGCCCCGCTGGAGGGCGGCCCAGCCCCGCGGCCGCTGGCACCGGCCGCCGCGCCGCGAGACGGTACCTGCCGAGTTTACACTTCTTGAGGCCGGTGTCGTCCGCCGCCGCCGCCCCCGAGGACTTCCTCTTCTTCTTCACCGGCAGCGTCCTGCCTCGGGGCGGGGCCGCCCCGCTGCCGGGGCCCGCGGCTGAGGCCCCCCCGGGCTCACTTCCTCCGGCCGCCGCCGCCTCCCGAGACGGGCGGTAGGGAGACGAGAGGAGACCCCGTCCCGCTCTGCTCCCGCTGCTGCTCCTGCCCAGCCCCTTCGGACGCTGCCAACCCCGCTCGCTGCGGGCAGACGCCGCTACCGCCCCGGTGCGAGAAGCAGGTGTCGCGCTAGGGGAGAGCACGGGGAGCGAGAGCGGGGAGCGGGCGGTATCGGCTGCGGAGCGAACGGCGAGAGCGACCCGGACACAGACGGCGCCGGGCAGGAAGTCGCAGCGCCGCGGGGCGGGGCCGCGCCGGGACCCGCCCCCGGGGGCGGGGCTGCCGCACGCCCTTCCCGCCTGCAGCGGGGGCAGCTCGGGAGCTTGTGCCTGGGGTGCGGTGGGCCTGGGCCGTGCCAGGTCGGGCCGGGTGGGTGTGCCCGTTACAGTCGAGCGTTCGCGGTCACATAAACGGGACAGCGCGAACCCTGCGTTAGTCGCCAGGGTCCGCGGGGCGCCGCGAGGTCCCAGCTCGCCCGCGGGCCGGAGCTGCCGGCCGTGTCCCGTGGGGACGCCGGGTGGGCAGCGCTGGGGACGGGCGCGGGGCTGCGGCAGCCGCCTCTGAGAGGTGCGGGCGGCGGCCGAGCCCAAGGACAGCTGTTGGGGGAGACCCTCTCTCGCCTCGACAACTCCCTGGAGAAGGAGCTGGGAGCGCGGATCAGGGCGCTGATCGCTACGCCCGCGCTGACCCACGAAACCACGGGCACACAAGCCTGAGCTCCCGGTGGGGGTCTGAACACTCGCGCACTGCGGCACGGATCCCTAAAGGAGAGGGAAGGGGTGTGGGGGGGTGAAACACCCCAAGTACTGCGGCGGCCGTGACACCGTGACGCAGCTGATGGCAGGAGAGGTGCTTCGGTGAACCCACAGGAAAGCCCGGCAGCACCTCTGGACTACTGCTGCGGTGGCGGGACGAGCGCGGTGCCTTCTCCGCCACCGCCCCTCCCCGCCCACTGTGCCCGCCGACCGCCGAGCGCGTCACCGCCGCCTTCCTCCCTCCCTCTCTCCCTCCCCTCCGCGGGCAGCGGCCCTTGCCGGGCGCCACCCGGCCCGACCCCGCCTGCGCGCTGGGGCCGCCATCTTCGGTCACCATAGTGACGGCTCGCGGGGACGTCGGTACGCTCCGGGCCTCTCCTCTTGTGCTTCGCCGTCCTTCCCGCCGGGTCTTCTCCCGCCAGCCCTTCCATGTGCTCCCGTGGGGTTCTGGATCCGCCCCCGCCTTGATCCTGCCTGACGGGGTGAGCCCGGCAAGCATGGCCGGGGAGGGAGACCCGAGGAAGCGCTTTATCTCAGCCACGGCTGCGAACTACTTCGGGCTGGATCCGGCGGGCTGTGCTGCCCTGGCGGCGGGGCTCCACTCCCGTCCGGAGCTGAGCAGCTTCCTCGACGACGGCAACGAGTTCCTGCTCGTGGTACACCACTCGGGCGCGCAGCTCAGCACCTCCAATAAGGTACCGTAGTGTCCGGCATGGCCGGGTCCCGCGTGTCCACCGCATCCCGGCGTGCGATTGGGAATGCAGAGCCCACAGTCAGCCCAGGCTTAGTGGCCGTAAAGACTGGTATCAGATTTGGGAGACATCTCCCTACTGCGAATATCTGTGCAGGTCTCTATGTCTGCTGTAAGTTACTGGCGGCTGCCGTGGTTTAACCCCAGTCGGCTGCTAAGTACCACTGACTGGCCTCCACCCCGCGGTGGAGAGGAGAATCGGGAAGAAAAGGTTAAACCCCTTTTGGGGGTTCAGATAAGAACAACGAAGTAAAATACAATAACAGTATAATAATAACCAACTACTAATATGCTAGTAATAGTGTTAATAATTGTAATGAAAAGGGGCGAGAAAGCCCAAGTGGAGTAAGTGATGCAAAAATATAGTTGTTCACCACTCATGTACAGCCCATTCCCCAGCAGTGATCGATGCCTCCTGGCCAACTCCCCTCAGTCTATATACGAAGCATGACACTCTGTGGTATGGAATATTCCTCTGGTCAGTTCGGTTCAGCTGTCCTGGCCATGCTCCTTTCCAACTTCCTGTGCACCTCCTCACTGGCCGTGCACGAGGGACTAAAAATTCCTTGACTTCAGATAATCATTGCTCAGCAACAAACAACATATCAGTGTGTTATTCTAAACCCAAAATACAGCACTGCCTCAGGTACTAAGAAGAAAATTAACTCTATCCCAGCTAAAACCAGGGCTCTGGCCCAAGAGTCTGTAAAGACCATATGGTTAGCTGGTGATACGTTTTTTAGTGGATCGTGCCCATACTGATGCAGTTTTAGTGTGCTGTATATTGTCGCTGTGTGAATATAATGCAGCCTGGAGGATGGCATGTTACCTTACTGCAAATGCCAGGTGGAGTCTGATGTATGATTTCTTCCTGGTCATGGGTGCATGGAAGGATTGCGTGGCCAATGTCTGTGCAGGGAATGTGACCCAATATATGGCACATTGACTGATATTTGACAAGTCCCAAGGTGGGTGTTTGTCTAAAGCATGCATTTTTCAAACTGATATGTCTATCTGTGAGCAAATCTTAGGCTCATTGTGTGAAATGTCCTGCCTTGAGTGTTTGTGTTCAGCAAGTGACTCATCTGAGTGATACCATGGGGTGTGATGTGCACTCAATGTCACTATATAATCAGGCCACAGAGTGTACAGGCTGCACAGAGTGTACAGGCAAAGTGTGGGTCTTGGCATGTGTCCTGTCGTTCTGCTGTGAGACCAGGGATGTGGTGTCTGTTATGTCAGTGACAGATTTTTTCTGCACTGAAGATGAGTGTAATGTGTCCTTAACATGTGAATTGTGGACCAGTAACTTGCGTGCCTCTTTGGTTAAGACTAGTGCATTCTATATTCAGGCAAAAGTGAACGTTTATGTGTACCAATTTTGGGGGTTTGCTGCTGAGCCACTGTCTAAAATACAAAGCAGCTTTCAGCAGCTGTGGGAGATCAGATGCATATCAGTGCTACACTGTATACCTGTTATCTCAGTGAAGATGTCTGCAGGTGTTGAGCTAAAGAGCTGATAAGAAAGCAAAAACTGATACTGTTCAGTAAAACTGAAAGCTGTTCTTCCTATCCCTCCATTTCTTTTAACGGAAAAGAGTATACAGATGTTTATAATTGTGCAGAATTTGGGATTTCAGCTTGCATATCTTCTTGCTATTTATTTATCAAATGTTTAATAATATTTTACTGTTTTATGAATTCTTCTCAGCCACAAATTGATTTATGGCAGCATTTGGAACTTTACCCATAAATTGGGCTGTGAAGGGAACATGAATTGTGACTGATGACTAATGAAGGACCATACCTTTCTCTATCCTTGAGAATTCAATGATTTGTAATAGTTACATATTTACACACTCAGGAAAACAATACAGAATAGTTAGAATATTTAGAAAAATATTCCCAAAGGTATGTCGCATAAAAAATATGTATATTTTTCTCTAGGCACAAGACAGAGTTTCTGTTTTGTCTACAGAAAGTGGGAAGTGGAGTTTTCAAAATAGAGTAAGAAAATATGGTATTTACAGACATTATGTGCTGAAAGAGGCTTTATCTGTTTGATGTTGGAAGTCAGGTTCCTATGGGCTCACAAATGAGTATAATAAAAATTTTCATTTTCTGTGCAAATAGATACTACCAGAATGTTATCGGAGCCCAGAGGGAGTAATATGGTATTTTATATTCTTTTCTTGATACAAACTGTTTGTGTAAATGGTGTACATGATTTAGTATAATATGCAGTCACTGACAGTTTTCTAAACAAATCCTGTCTTCCCGATTATTACAGATTGAGGCTACTGATTCAGAGAATAACGTGTTGGTGTTCTTTAAGCTGAGACCTGATGTAATTACAGAAGATAATCTTCATAGTAATATTCTTGTGTCATCTATGCTAAATTCACCAATTAACACCCTTTATCAAGCTGTACGTCAAGTTTTTGCACCAGTGTTACTGAAGGTGAGCAATATACCAATTTAAATGTTCTGGGGATTTATACTGAGACATTGAAATTCCATAGGATGTTAACTAATTTTGAACTAAATGTTTTATGTTTTAAAACCAAAATATTTTAAGAGATTAAACAAGGGCGATTTTTATTTCTAAGTTATAGAAAGTACTTCATCTCCTATCAGTAAGGAGGAGAGGAGGATTCTGGTCATACATATGCCTGACTGGAAGCATGGAATACATTGTGCAGGGGTGGTTAATGAAGAAAATAGCTCTTTACCTCCTTTCCAACAGTAATGCCAGCCTTGCGTCCTTTTCTTGTTTTAGATACTCTTGGAGTTTGTATAAAATGCATAGGTCTGTGTCATGCATACGGTGGTTCTTTAATAAGTGGCAGATAGGTACACTAGACTCTAGGTTAATTTTTACATCTGCATTTTTCATAGTTTTTGCTTTTTTTAAAGTTTTCAGCAGCTTTTTCTTCTATTCTATTGAAGAATATTTTGTGAAAAACCATGGCCATGGCTATATTTCATAAGCTGAACAAGTGGAGTTTCAGCACTTAAATATTTTTAATTTATTGTGTGTGATAATGTTAGTAAAATAATGTTAGAAAAACACAGTAACTTTTTGTATTTTATTCTAGCAATTTCCAGATTATGCTATAGTAGTCCAAATTTATTTAACTTAAGAGAATTAACTAACAAATGATTTTGAACACATTTTCAGAGTGCCTTTATAAAGCCAACAACTGACTTGATTTTGTGATAAAACTTTTTTTTCACAGTATTATTCTGAATTCTTAAATGAAGAGAATGAGGTCCTTTTCTTTGACTTTAAGAAAAAAAATATTATTACATTGTCCCACCATGTGGTTGTTTACTTAATCTGATTTTTTTTTTATTTTTTTTAAGATTAATGGAAGGAAAATAGTAATTGCTCTATCATGTGAGTCACAATTTTTGAAATTTTCATTACAGGATGAGAGATGGAGTAAAACATTTGATCCCAAACTCCAGAAGCTTTTAAGTGAACTTGAAGCTGGCTTGAGTACTGCTCTCAGAAGATCAGATCCTAATTACACAGGAACAAAATTCTGTGAAGATGATGTGCGAGGTTTGTTTTGCAGTTATATCTTTTTATAATTAATTTTAAATTAGGAGTAAATAATTTATTTACAAGTTGAATTTTTAGACTTCCCAGTGACTGCATAGAGTGAAGTATAGCAGGCTGTGGTGAGTAAATGGAATTAGTGATGGTTA